GCGGATTCCTCTTGACCAGCTGTCGATTGGCTTTACTGGAAGATTCATGCTGACGCTGTTTCCGAGGCAACGGTGGATTCCTCTTGACCAGCTGTCGATTGGCTTTACTGGAAGATTCATGCTGACGCTGTTTCCGAGGCAATCGCAGATTCCTCTTGACCAGCTGTCGATTGGCTTTACTGGAAGATTCATGCTGACGCTGTTTCCGAGGCAATCTGAGTCCTCTTGACCAGCTGTCGATTGGCTTTACTGGAACATTCATGCTGACGCTGTTTCCGAGGCAATCTCCTGCTTGACCAGCTGTCGATTGGCTTTACTGGAACATTCATGCTGACGCTGTTTCCGAGGCAATCTCCTTCGATTCCGGTGAAAAGGTGTTAAGCTTTCGTGTGTCATGTGACGAACATCATCAGAGCGAGATATCATCAGCACAACCAAATTCAAGTTAACGAGTCAAGAAAACTCACCGGCAAATCCCTAAAAATTGGTATATATACTCTTCATCTGGCCTCTTTGATGAAGTATAAAGTGATTTGGTTAGTTCGGGTCATATGTCAACTTCGATGCCTGCGAGTGTGTCTGTATCTGTACGTGTATGTGAGCCGGGTATGATTTCTTGACTCGTTAGCTTGAACTTGGTTGTGACGATGATATTCGTCATATGACGAAGAAAAGCTTTGCACATTTTCACCGGAATCGAAAAAGATTGCCTCGGAAACAGCGTCAACAAGAATGTTCCAGTAAATCCAATCGAAGCTGGTCGAGAGGAATCCGCCGTCGTCTTCTGGTGGAGCCGACCTTCGAATCTCTTCACTCGAAATGGAAGTAAACTCAACAATAGAGCTTTCATGCTGCATCTGTTGCTAGTTTCGAAGCCGACTCACTCAGAATATACCACTTCGACAACCACACAGAGTTTATTCATTTGGATTAGTTTGGAGGAGGAATAAAGGGCCCAAAACTTTATGTTGAGGATACCTTGAATATGCGAGAGGCCATCTGGGTTCTTGCAGGCAAGCCTCAAAGTGTCTATACTTTGTTGTTATCCAGTTGAGAGTAGCGAAAACTTGGATGTGTCATGTACGGCCACATTGAATAAATCGACTTTCCCAGATTTACAGCAGCGCTAAAAACGAAATAATGAAGGTATATTGTGGTTCACTTTAATTATATCGCTGAGATTGGGTTGCAGCTTATGCTTTATCTTTGCCTCTCCAGCATCCTTGCTATTTCTCAGACCAGGTCATTGAATATTCAGACGTTTTTACGCTGCATAAATGCGGGATGCGAGCCGTTTTTATGGCGATTCGATGAAATTTGGGCTGGTTGGAAGCGAATCTCCAACCTATTCGACTGCAAAATGCCAATTAGCGCAGTTCATGCCTTAATTGTGCCGAAAGGTAAACAAATAAGTCTGAAGTTCCATTGGGCGGTTTGTTGGAAGGAAGACTAAAGGGAATAAAAAATGTCGAGGGGACAAGTCATGCGAGATACGGAATCTTCTGCCCATTCGCGATCTTTACCAGACAAACTATGATGCTTGGCTAAGTTCTCATTTTAATACTTTTTATAAGTTCGAAATTTACTTACAAGTAATATAAGTGAAGTTATCGTTCATAATGGCAACTATAGACATGCCTTAGCAATACTTCCATAGAAAAATGTGAAAATCACACTTGTCCTGTCTATGATTGACTGGCATCCGTGGCTGTGCGGTAGATGGGAAACGCTTCGTCGCGATCCGCACGACCGGGGTTCGAATCTTGTTGAGGATGTGACTCCAGTCTGGAAAAGAATACCTTCTGGAAGGCTAGATTCACTGAAATTGGATGGCAGCATAGGACAAACTATGCGCAAAAAAGTACTGGTATTCTCTAAAAACATTCACACCCAGTAAAATTTCTGTGTAGCTGCCTCGTCTGACAAGCATCGGCCTGACAATGTAGTCACATTTTAAATACCAGTTTACTTGGGTGGACCAGATTATCTGTATCATTGGTGTATAGAGCTGTTTCTGAAAACAAAGCACAACTTTCTTCCAGTAACACATTCCTGACGCTCCGGAAAGCACATTTTACATCCATTCTCAACAGGAAAGTTGCTTGATCATTTTCGGCATACAAACGGACAGAAGGAGCGGCAAACTACAGGAATGAAGGATATTCGTACAAGCAGCATTTTATTTTATGAACTTGTTTGATGCTGACTATTTCTCATTCTACGCTCCTATAACCCTACTTTTCCTCTCATGCGTGAATGTGATTGGTTGATGAAAAAACCCCAAAGTGCATCTTACGTACTTTTCTTGTTTCACTTGTACCGAAGAAGTGCGCTCAGACTTGGCGCCGTTGGCTTAATTCGGCTCATCTAAGCAACACTGCAATGAGGCAGTTTATGCCATTTTTATAGCATTTATAATGTTTTGTGCTTTCAAGCAGCGAATCATCATACCCACCTTGTGAAAAGCCCGGCTACTTGAAGAACTTTAAGCAGTCTTTCGTAGTCGGTGTGCCTTGAAAGTATCCACAGATCTACATTCAAATGAATATAAAGCCTCATGATACCATTACATTTTCCTTAGCTGTGCCTCCCAAAATTATTCTCATCCAGACTGAACTATAGCTTCTACCTCGACTAACCGCCTCCTCAACCCAGCCGACCAGATTCGAAACTGGGTTTGGCACGAGTGCCAGTGGTTCCGAGGACAGATGGGGCCTTAAAGACCAATTAATTGATGTAGTTTTCATAAAAATCGGTCACACTACTTAATGCATTGTAAGTAGGCTCATTTTTTTGTCGGAAATTCAGCAACATCTCAAGCAATCTCAGGCGGCTAAAGCTGTCAGGGGCCAGCTTTAACAAATCCATCTGAATGGACCTATTTTACAGCAGCTCACAGTTGATGAGATTCTCGTGGAAGCTTGTTCAGGTTTCATCTCGTTACTCTGTTAAGCCTTTGTCATGACAGCCTAGGCTTGACCACGAAGTCATGTGAGCACACATGCGATGGAAAAATAAACTCGATTGGCAACACTGGCTGTCGAAGGACTGCCAGCGTGTGGAGGCGGCACCAACATAATTAGGGGTATACTGACACTGGGATCTTCGGCAAACTCTGTCACAGTTTGACACAATTTTCCGGCCAATGCCATCATAAACATGACGAAATGTTGGAATTTCAAAGTTCTCGTGATAGTCTCCTGTTGGCATGCCTGGATATGATGGTTGTTTATGGTACCATGGCTCGGTATCTGGACCGACTAAGCACTAAGAAGCAAGAAGTGACCCACGATGAGCACCCGAGCGTCGAATTGGGTGAGGACACGCGATGTGAGGTGGACTGACATGTGACATGAAGATGGGGCCTGATAGACGCTGTGTCAGGTTCAGCTTGGAAATACTGTGCCAAGATTCGATTCAAGAGATGCGGCTTGGATACTGGAAGCCAAGATGCTGTGCGAAGATGTTGCTTGACGATGCACTGATTAGAGGTGGCGGCAAGAGAGAGCACAAAAATGCGGCACATGGACGTTGTCTGGTGAGGTAGCTTAACGGTTTGGCGGTAAGATACAGCTCGGAGAGAAGAAATAAATATATACTGCCAAGATGCAGAGATGTAGTATGAATATTGAGAATAAGGACGAGGTGCGAAGGTGCCAGCTGTAGAGGAATTATGAAAAGACTTCGTTTGTAAGGGTCGGCGAGTAGAAGCTGCAGCGCTAAGATGTTGTCTGAACATGTGCCTGAAGACACAAAATGAAGATGTGGTGCGAAGACGCGGATTGAAGATAGGACGTGATGATGCCAAGTTAA